GAAAAAGGAGGAGTAGATGTAAAATAGAAAGAGACAGGCGCTCCCTTTACAGGCGACGGAAAGAATAACAGAGCGGCTAAAGAGGTCAATATATCTGAAATGCGCAGGGAGACACTGGTCAGAGAAATAGCAAGCATCGAACTTAAGCTAAAAGAATCCTTTAGGAGTCAGGAATCGCGGGAAGAACTAAAAGCCATAAATGAAATCGAAAGAAACCCAAAGTATTTCTTCTCCTATGCCAAATCAAAATCGAGAACAACGTCCAGTATTGGGCCCCTACTTAAACAAGATGGGTCCTACACAGATGACAGCAAGGAAATGAGTGAGCTACTCAAGTCCCAATATGACTCAGTTTTTAGCAAGCCGCTAACCAGACTGAGAGTCGAAGACCAAAATGAATTTTTTATGAGAGAGCCACAAAATTTGACTAACACAAGCCTATCCGATGTTATCCTGACGCCAATGACTTCGAACAGGCGATAAATGACATGCCCATGCACTCTGCCCCAGGGCCAGACTCATGGAACTCTGTGTTCATCAAGAACTGCAAGAAGCCCCAAATCACGACCTTTTCCATCCTATGGAGAGGGAGCATGGACACGGGGGTCTTTCCCTCAGTTACAAAAAAACAACAGACATAGCCCCACTCCACAAAGGGGGCAGTAAAGCAACAGAAAAGAATACAGACCAATAGCACTAAAACCCCATATCATAAAAATCCTTTGAAAGGGTCCTAAGAAGCAAGATCACCACCCATCTAGAAACCCAATCAGTTACACAACCCAGGGCAACATGGGTTTAGAACAGGTCGCTCCTGTCTGTCTCAACTACTGGATCACTACGACAAGGTCCTAAATGCACTAGAAGACAAAAAGAATGCAGATGTATATATAAAAGACTTTGCAAAGGCCTTCGACAAGTGTGACCATGGCGTAATAGCGCACAAAATTTCGCGCTAAAGGAATAACAGGAAAAGTCGGTCGATGGATCTATTAATTTCCTCACTAACAGAACACAGAGAGTAGTCGTCAACAGAGTAAAGTCCGAGGCAGCTACGGTGAAAAGCTCTGTCCCACAAGGCACAGTACTAGCTCCCATCTTGTTCTCATCCTCATATCCGACATAGACAAGGATGTCAGCCACAGCACCGTGTCTTCCTTTGCAGATGACACCCGAATCTGCATGACAGTGTCTTCCCTTGCAGACACTGAAAGGCTCCAGGCGGACATCAAACCCAAAACTTTCAGTGGGCTGCAGAAAAAAATATGAAGTTCAACGATGAGAAATTTCAATTACTCAGATATGGTAAACATGAGGAAATTAAATCTTCATCAGAGTACAAAAACAAATTCTGGCCACAAAATTTGAGCGAAACACCAACGTCAAAGACCTAGGAGTGATATGTCGGAGGATCTCACCTTCAAGGACCATAACATTGTATCAATCGCATCTGCTAGAAAAATGACAGGATGGATAATGAGAACCTTCAAAATGGGGAGGCCAACCCCATGATGACACTCTTCAGGTCACTTGTTCTTCTAGGCTGGGAATATTGCTGCACTCTAACAGCACCTTTCAAGGCAGGTGAAATTGCCGACCTAGAAAATGTACAGAGAACTTCACGGCGCGCATAACGGGAGATAAAACACCTCAATTACTGGGAGCGCTTGAGGTTTCTAAACCTGTATTCCCTGGAACGCAGGAGGGAGAGATACATGATTATATAACCTGGAAAATCTAGAGGGACTAGTACCAAACTTGCACACGAAAATCACTCACTACGAAAGCAAAAGACTTGGCAGACGATGCACCATCCCCCCAATGAAAAGCAGGGGTGTCACTAGCCGTTAAGAGACCATACAATAAGTGTCAGGGGCCCGAGATGTTCAACTGCCTCCCAGCACACATAAGGGGGATTACCCCAAAAGACCCCCGGCAGTCTTCAAGCTGGCACTGGACAAGCAACTAAAGTCAGTTCCTGATCAGCCGGGCTGTGGCTCGTACGTTGGTTTGCGTGCAGCCAGCAGCAACAGCCTGGTTGATCAGGCGGCTGATCCACCAGGAGGCCTGGTCACAGACCGGGCTGCGGGGGCGTTGACCCCCGAAACTCTCTCCAGGTAAACTCCAGGTAAACTCCTACCTCCCAGTCGTTTCTTGTGAATTCCCCATCACCCTTCCTCAGTCTGATTACCTGGTCCTTGACTGTTGTTTTCCTCCTGATGTGGCTGTACAACAGCTTCGGGTCAGTCTTGACTTTCGATGCAATGTTATTTTCGTATTGCCGCTGAGCCTCCCTACTTATCTGTGCATATTCTTTTCTGGCTCTTCGGTTAATCTCTTTATTTTCCTGAGTTCTCTGTTTTCTGAAACCTTTTCCATTCTCTAGTACACCTAGTTTTTTGCCTCCCTACACCTTTGGTGAACCAAGGATCGTTCTGTTCTTCCCATTATTTCTGTTTCCCTTGGGGAAACAAACCTCTCCTCTGCCTCCTTGCTTTTTTGTTGCGACATAGTCCATAAATTCTTTACTGGTTTTCCTGTCAGTTCCCTCTCCCACTGAAATGTCTTGAAAGAAGTTCCTCAAGCCTGAGTATTTTTCCCCTTTTGTAGTTTGGTTTTTTTTTTCCCACCCTATTCCTGCTGCTCTCTCCACTTGGAGCTCAACTATGTAGTCGAAGCACAGAACCACATGATCACTACTCCCAGGGGCCTTTCATACATGATATCCTCGATGTCAGAACACTCAAGGTGAATACAAGGTCCAGTCTTGCTGGTTCATCCTCTCCTCTCTCTCGGTAGTGTCTCTAACATTTTTGATGCATGAGGTTTTCCAGTTCACATCCATCATCTTGGCTCTCCATGTTTGGGGACCCCCATGGGGCTCCAGGTTTTCCCAGTCAATCTCCTTGTGATTGAAATCACCCATAAACTAGTAATTTGCTCCCCCCATGTGTGCTCCCCTGGCCACCTCGGCTAGTGTGTCGACCATTGCTCTGTTGCTCTCATCGTATTCTTCTTTTTGGCCTCCTGCAGTTCGGGTGGGGGGTTGTACATTACTGCAATTATCCCCTTTAAATGTCCCTCAACTGGATTGTTCCTACTAAGTATCCCTTTCGCTCGTGCCGTCCATTCCTTCCTTTTTTCTCAAACCCCCACTGGTTATTAATGAGCAGTGCAACTCCTCCTCCCCCTCTCCTCCCTCTGTCTTTCCTGAGGAATCTGTTATTATTCTGGTGAGTTTTGTTTCTGTGAGTGCTATTATGTCTGGGGATGTCTCCTTGAAACTTTGTGCCACTCCCCATACTTATTTGTTATTCCATCTGCATTTGTATACCACACCTTCAACTTCTTTTCTAAGGTTGTGGTCTGGGAGGTGTATTGGGGTTGGGGAAGTGGGAGACCTGATAAGGAACTATGGGTGGGTGCTGTGGGGGTGGAGTTTGTAATGCAGTGGGTGGGGGCATTGGATGTGGCATGGGTGTTTTGGTTTAGAGTGTTTGGTTTTCACTGGGTTTGACCTGGTTGGGAGGCTTCTATAGGAAGTTGTGAGAGAGGCTGTATTTGATCTTCCTGTGTCTGGGATCTCCTGTCTCTTCTCCATCACCTCTCTTTCCTCCTTTCGCCTTTGTACCATCTCTCTCAGTTTCTGCCTTTCTGCTTGTGTTCTGTCGCGGTTGAGATACACCTTCCTGTATGCCGGCATGTCCCTTAATCATGCTTTCTCCTGCAGGATCCTGTTCCAAGTCGATTCTGCCTTGAAGGTCACTTTCACTGGCTGGGTTCTTTTTTTTTACAAACCCCCCTATTCTCCGAAAATTTTCCAGCTGGGTCATGTCGTCTTCTCCTATTGCTTTCATGATGCTTTCAATTGCTTTCAATTGTGTGTGTGTGTGTGTGTGTGTGTGTGTGTACTCACCTAATTGTACTCACCTAATTGTGGTTGCAGGGTTCGAGACTCAGCTCCTGGCCCCGCCTCTTCACTGATTGCTACTAGGTCCTCTCTCTCTCTCTCTCTCTCTGCTTCCTGAGCTTTATCATACCTCATCTTAAAACTGTGTATGGTTCCTGCCTCCACTACTTCACTTGCTAGGCTATTCCACTTCCTGACGACTCTGTGACTGAAGAAATACTTCCTAACGTCCCTGTGACTCGTCTGAGTCTTCAGCTTCCAGTTGTGACCCCTTGTTTCTGTGTCCCCTCTCTGGAACATCCTATCTCTGTCCACCTTGTCTATTCCCCGTTATCATGTCTCCGTTGTCGTTATCATGTCTCCCCTGACCCTTCTGTCCTCCAGTGTCATCAGTCCGATTTCCCTCAACCTTTCCTCGTACGACATTCCCCTGAGCTCTGGGACTAGCCTTGTTGCAAACCTTTGTACTTTCTCTAACTTCTTGACGTGCTTGACCAGGTGTGGGTTCCAGATTGGTGCTGCATACTCCAGTATGGGCCTAACATATACAGTGTACAGTGTCTTAAACGAATCCTTATTAAGGTATCGGAACGCTATTCTCAGGTTTGCCAGGCGCCCGTATGCTGCAGCAGTTATTTGGTTGATGTGTGCCTCCGGTGATGTGCTCGGTGTTATGGTCACCCGAAGGTCTTTCTCCCTGAGTGAGGTCTGTAGTCTTTGTCCACCTAGCCTATACTCTGTCTGCGGTCTTCTTTGCCCCTCCCCAATCTTCATGACTTTGCATTTGGCAGGATTGAATTTGTGTGTGTGTGTGTGTGTGTGTACTCACCTATTTGTGGTTGCAGGGGTCGAGTCATGGCTCCTGGCCCCACCTCTTCACTGGTTGCTACTGGGTCCTCTCCCTGTGTGTGTGTCAAAACAATCGCATCCCAAGTAAAGATTGAAAACATATTAGAATTACAAATACAATGTTTTACATTTATAGATGCTAAGCTATATTTCTTGTGATTTCATGTGTTCCATGTTTTTTGTACGTACATTATTGTGCTCAAATATACTATCGACAGGAACGACAGCAGTACCGGTAACTACAGAGCCTACACTTACCCTGAGCCCCACCTCTTCCTACAGTACCATCAACAATAGTGTCAACACTAATACCATCATTACTAGGACTATCACCAATACCATATCTTATGTGAACACTACTACCCTTAACAACAATCTAACTACCAGTAACAGCACTGTTACCAGCAACAGTACTTTCGTTACCCTTGCTGTTATCTCCAACACCACTACAACCACCAGCAACAAACTCTTAGTACAGAACTTGGTACAAATGGCTACCATACCAACTTTCAAGTGTACCAAACTTCTCAAACAGGGAGGAAGAACTTGCCAGAGGATACCAGATGGAGACAAGTAAGAAATATATTATATTATTATTATTATTATCATTATTTGGGTTTAGCACTTAGTTTTGATTGTAATACTGCTTCTACCAGTAATGATACTATTCATTATTTTATTATTATTATTATTATTATTATTATTATTATTATTATTATTATTATTATTATTAAGAATAAACGTAACAGTAGTGTCTGGAAAAATTACAAAAGAAAAAAAATTAAAAAATAAAAGCTAACGATGTTTCGGGCCCATCTAAATTTACTTTTTGAAAAGACATTACATAAATAAATAAATTACAGTATGACTTGATAATTAAATAGCCCCAGGACGAGCCGAAGCGTCGTCTAGTTTTAAATTTTCCCGTTTGTGGTTTATTCTTATATTAATATTTTATTTTTTTTTTATTATTTAACATGTTTTACTCATCTTTTAAAGGGCCCCAAAACCTTGAAGAGTGTGAACATTCTCCTTTGCATAAAGAAAAAAGATAGGGGGATAACAACCCGCAATAGAAGAGAGGGGCTTTCGACGGGCGTTTCGGTCGCTTGGGCCATTTACAGTGACAAAAGGCCAATCGACCCAAACGTCGTGTAGTCTCTCTTTTATGTGCGATTATTTGCGTATCGTTTTAGTACGGTTTTTGGCCTATTTTTGTTACGAAATGAGAATTTTCAAGCTAGGGGAAAAATCCCCAAAGGCAATACTTTTAGATCACTTTTTTCTCTCGCTTAGAGTATTGTTCAGTATCGACGGCTCTTTACAGGGCAGGAAAGAACTGAACTGGAACAGTTACAGAGATCATTTATAGCCGGCATAGAGCCAATAAGGCATCAAAATTACTGGAAACACCTGAGTCCTAAATATGTACTTGCTGAAACTTAGGAGGGGAGATACACAATATATACGAGAAAGATGCTTGGGTGTCTGGTTCCATATCTGCATACTCCCATAACAACCTACTGGAAGGAGAGTTATGGAAGAATTGTAAAATAAGCCCAGTGAAAAACATAGGCACCATGGGCAGAGTAAGAGAACATCGTATCAACATTCGTGAGCCCAGACTGTTGAAGACGAGACACCAGAAATATTGCCGAACAAGTGTAGAAGTTTTCAAGAGTTTATAAATTGGACATGTGCCTCCGCCGAGTGCCAGATCAACCAGGCTGTAATGGATATTTGGACCAGGCAGTAACAACCTGGTTAACCAGGCAAGCACCAGTCAAGTCTGGCCCAGGACCAGACTGCAGGAGTAGGAAAGCTCTCGAAATCCTTCAAAGGTCTAATAATAATAATAATCATCATCATCATATTATTATTATTGTTATTATTTGAAAACAAAGTGAAGCTACAGAACAGTATGTGTCTTACGGAAACACGTCCTAATGTATTACAGCCGTACAGGGAGATCGATCACCGGACCTCAATGTGTGAGCTGAGTGCGCTAGCTTAGTTCAATCTTTCAAGCTTTTATAGCTTAAGACTGTTTACTAACAAAATCATCTCATTAAATAAACCATAGAGGAAATAAATCTCTCAACACTTTTGTTTTCCATGTTACAACGTTGTGTTCACTATCAGTATAACTGCCTACACTAGTAGCAACTGATGACTAATTACTGGCCCACTTGCAAAGTACCTAGTCCCATGATAAGATTTGTATCATCAGACAAAATAGGGAGATCATTCACAAACCCCTCAAGGGAGGTTCCTGGAAGCTGGTGAAGGGCTCATGATCTGGGCCCCTCAAGGAAGGTTCCTTGATGTTGGTGAGGGGCTCTTGATTTAGGGAATTGGATCTGTGCTCCAGTTCCCCGAATTAAGCCTGAATGCCTTCCACATCCCCCCCCAGGCGCTGTATAATCCTCCGGGTTTAGCGCTTCCCCCTTGATTATAATAATAATCATGATCTGGGGAATTGGATCTGTGCTCCAAGTCATTGCCATTTTTATTTTTATCATTTTTTTTATTATTCTTTTGCTACCTTAACTTGTGTATTTTATCTTGTCAATTTAAATCTAGTTATACTCTAATTCTTGTAAACAACTTATATAAGACCTTAGTGCAATTACAATTGAGTCTTGTGCCTTTTTTATATTATTAGATTAAACTCAGTTGTACTATAGCTCATTGTAGCTCAATACATAGTCAATACCAAATTCATTATATTAGACCATAGGGGCAATTACTAGTGAGAGTCTGGTGCTATTTTTAATTTGTATTTTTATTTTATTAGATTAAATCATTTGTACTAAGCTCATTTAGCTCAAAACATAGACTCCACAAAAGTCATTATAGTAAAACCTTTAGGGGCAATTACAAGTGAGAGTCTTGTTCTATTTTTAATTTGTATTTTTTTATTACTAGTTTATCCCTAGTTGTACTTTAGTTCATTCCAGCAAACACATAGACAACATCAACTTCATTATGTGTAGTAGTGACTATACTCTATATGACCAAATACTCTAGCTATATATTTTCCCAAAAACTTCCCACCACAAACAGATATCAGTACTAGAACTCAACACACAACTCAGGATATAAATAACCAAAATTTTAAAACCCTAGAAGATGATTGATCCCGTTGACCCTGATCTAAACCTCCATAATCTGACACCCAATCAAAACCTATTGGAAATAACTGCCTTTATTACACAGCATCACAAGCCAGCACTATCCTAAACAATGCTAAAAGTCTATCAGTATTTAAAACTACAACATCAGGTCCTTAAGCAAACACTATGATGACCTCCTGGCACCCTTGAATCACTAAAGACCCCCTTTTCTCCTGAAATTATTCTTACTGAGACCTGCTTAAGCAGGACACAATATATATCTACCCTCTACCAGGATACACAGCAATTCACAACTGCAGACCAAACCAAGTTGGGGGTGGTATTGCAATCTATTACTCTAACCAATTATCTTGTATTAGCACCACTTGCTTTAGTGATAAATATGGGGAATACATTTTTGCTAATTTTACTGTAAAAACCTTAAGACACCTAAAACCCAAATCGGTGCCATTTCCCGGGATACCTCACACAAACATCCCAAATTTCAGTGAGAAATTAAAGTCACTAATAACAAAACAGACAAATGAATAAGCACCACCTTCTCTAGCTGGAGACTTCAACATCAACCTTGGCTTACTAATGATCAGCTTGTAACTGATTTCATCAACAATATGAAAAACACACTTCTCATACCAACAATAACTAAACCAAACCAAGCTCACTGAGACAAGTGCAACCATAATAGACCACATATGGACCAATATACTAGCCCCCCTTAAATCAGGGATAATCACAGATAGCACTACAGACCACTACCCTCCCTTCCCCCTGACAAACATTAGTAAACCACCACTTGAATACAACAAGTCTCATTTTGACTCCATGACGAGGCCTCAATAAGGAAATTCACAGCTGACCTAGAGACTGTTGACTGACCTACAAAATTCTCCAAGGCCAATGGTATTGATGATGGACAGACATTTTTCTTAACAAATTACTTAGACTATACAACAAACATTGTCCTATAAAAACGAAAACAGATCACAAACAAACGGCTTGGTTGCCCATGGCTAACCAGCACCATTCTGAAATCCATTGACAAAACACCAATATAAAAGCAATATAGACAGGGCTTAATACACAAAGATATTCTTAAACACTATTCATCAGTTCTCACCAAAGTAATAAAGAAAGCCAAACAACTATACTACTCCAGTAGATTCACAGACACTAGAGGAGATATAAAAAGACCTGGAAAACACTCTCTCAGATTTAGGGACCCACAAACTGAAAAAAAAACCAAGAATATTGTCCTAACTAAACCTAAAGAAACACCACTACATCCCACTGACACAGCTAACAAGATAAACGACTTCTTCTCAACCATAGGATCTAATCTCGCCAATAAAATCCCACATACCAATGCCCCTGCCGGGGGCTACCTAGATGAATCCCAAATTCCTTCTATCTTGCACCAACTGAGCCCTCGGAAGTCACCGAGATTATAAAGTCACTTAGAAATAACTAGGGAATCTGTCTCATGTCCCACCCTTACTGTACAAGCGAGCGGCCCATATCCTTTCGCTGCTATTTCATTACTTTTTAACAAGTCACTAGAAACTAGCACCTTCCCGAAACTACTCAAGATGGCAAGGGTTACACCAATACATAAAGGTGGGACCCTACAGCCTTTAAAAAACTATAGGCCAATATCAAACCTTACCATTTCTATCCAAAATCTTTTGAGAAACTCATGCACAGGAGCTATATTCATTTATAACAGCACAAACATACTCAACCCCTGCCAATTTCGATTCAGGAAAAATAAAAGCACTAATGATGCAATCATAAAAATGCTAGATCTGCTTTACACAGCATTGGAAAATAAGGAATATCCACTAGGAATTTTTATTGACCTAAAACAAGCTTTTGACACAGTAGACCACGACATCCTACTCCACAAACTTGACCATTATGGTATAAGAGGCCATGCGCTTGCTTATTTCAAATTTTACCTTACTAATAGGTATCAGTACGTCACCATTAAAGACACAGCATCAACAACACGGCCACTTGATACTGGAGTTCTATGTAACTATTTGTGTATACCTGAATAAACTTACTTATACTTACTTGGTCCCCTGCTCTTCCTCGTATACATCAATGATCTTCCAAACGTATCTCAACACCTGAAACCCATTCTCTTTGCTGACGACACGACTTATGTCATCTCTCACCCTAATCTTGCCACCCTCAACACCATTGTTAACGAGGAGCTGATCAAAATATCGACTTGGATGACAGCCAATAAACTTACGCTTAACACTGACAAAACCTACTATATTATGTTTGGTAGCAGAGCAGGAGATGCACAAATTAACATTAAGATCGACAACACTCTAATTACCAGACATAATGAGGGCAAATTCCTAGGCCTATACCTTGACAACAACCTGAATTTCAGCACCCATATCCAGCACATAACCAAAAAGTATCCAAACGGTTGGGATCCTCTCCCAAGATACGATACTACGTGCCACAAAATGCCCTTCTCACACTATACCACTCACTTATTTATCCATACCTCACCTATGACTTCGAACAGGCGATAAATGACATGCCCATGCACTCTGCCCCAGGGCCAGACTCATGGAACTCTGTGTTCATCAAGAACTGCAAGAAGCCCTATCACGAGCCTTTTCCATCCTATGGAGAGGGAGCATGGACAAAGGGGGTCGTCCCACAGTTACTAAAAAAAACAGAAAATAGCCCCACTCCACAAAAAGGGGCAATAAAGCAACAGCAAAGAACTACAGACCAATAGCACTAACATCCCATATCATAAAAATCTTTGAAAGGGTCCTAAGAAGCAAGATCACCACGCATCTAGAAACCCATCAGTTTACACAACCCAGGGCAACATGGGTTTAGAACAGGTCGCTCCTGTCTGTCTCAACTATTGGACCACTACGACAAAGGTCCTAAATGCACTAAAGACAAAAAGAATGCAGATGTAATATATACAGACTTTGCAAAAGCCTTCGACAAGTGTGACCATGGCGTAATAGCGCACAAATGCGTGCTAAAGGAATAACAGGAAAAGTCGGTCGATGGATCTATAATTTCCTCACTAACAGAACACAGAGAGTAGTCGTCAACAGAGTAAAGTCCGAGGCAGCTACGGTGAAAAGCTCTGTTCCACAAGGCACAGTACTCGCTCCCATCTTGTTCCTCATCCTTATATCCGACATAGACAAGGATGTCAGCCACAGCACCGTGTCTTCCTTTGCAGATGACACCCGAATCTGCATGACAGTGTCTTCCATTGCAGACACTGCAAAGCTCCAGGCAGACATCAACCAAATCTTTCAGTGGGCTGCAGAAAACATATGAAGTTCAACGATGAGAAATTTCAATTACTCAGATATGGTAAACATGAGGAAAATTAAATCGTCATCAAGTACAAAACAAATTCGGGCCACAAAATAGAGCGAAACACCAACGTCAAAGACCTGGGAGTGATCATGTCGGAGGATCTCACCTTCAAGGACCATAACATTGTATCAATCGCATCTGCTAGAAAAATGACAGGATGGATAATGAGAACCTTCAAACTAGGGAGGCCAAGCCCATGATGACACTCTTCAGGTCACTTGTTCTATCTAGGCTGGAATATTGCTGCACACTAACAGCACCTTTCAAGGCAGGTGAAATTGCCGACCTAGAAAATGTACAGAGAACTTTCACGGCGCGCATAACGGAGATAAAACACCTCAATTATTGGGACGCTTGAGGTTCCTAAACCTGTATTCCCTGGAACGCAGGAGGGAGAGATACATGATTATATACACCTGGAAAATCCTAGAGGGACTAGTACCGAACTTGCACACGAAAATCACTCATTACGAAAGCAAAAGACTTGGCAGACGATGCACCATCCCCCCAATGAAAAGCAGGGGTGTCACTAGCACGTTAAGAGACCATACAATAAGTGTCAGGGGCCCGAGACTGTTCAACTGCCTCCCAGCACACATAAGGGGGATTACCAACAGACCCCTGGCAGTCTTCAAGCTGGCACTGGACAAGCACCTAAAGTCAGTTCCGGATCAGCCGGGCTGTAGCTCGTATGTTGGTTTGCGTGCAGCCAGCAGCAACAGCCTGGTTGATCAGGCTGTGATCCACCAGGAGGCCTGGTCTCAGACCGGGCCGCGGGGGCGTTGACCCCCAGAACTCTCTCCAGGTAAACTCCAGGTATGCTATTTGTGCTTGGGATCAACTGCAGCAACACACCTAAAGCCAATAATAACCCAACAAAAAGCTGCAATAAGAATAATCACTAAATCCCATCCCTGGCAACACACCCCCCCACTCTTCATAGATCTAAACTTACTCCCTGTTCAGTACATCCACACTTAATACTGTGCAATCTACATCTACAGGACCTTAAACTCCAATATCAACCTTGACCTAAAACGCTTTCTTGATAGTTGTGACAGAACCCACAGGCATAACACCAGACACAAACATCTCTACGACATTCCCTGTGTCCGACTAAACCTTTACAAAAATTCAATGTATGTCAAAGGCCCTAAAATCTGGAACACCCTACCTGAGAACTCTAGAACTGCAGACACATTCATCACCTTTAAAACTACCATTAGAAAACATCTTATCTCCCTGATACACCCCATCAACTAACTCCACGAATACCACCTAGTGGTTCACACTTACACTCACTCACCCATTTGACCATAAACAGAAATATTAATCTCAATCTTAAAATAATGAATCCTATGATACTCCAATACTGAAACTATGTACTGTGCCAAAACAAAAGCATTCACATTGGTAAACTCACAAACTAGTATTTAGTCACTTAGCCATAATACCAACTTACCTCATAATTTGTAATATTTTAAAATAAAGAATTAGTCTGCCCGAAATGCCTAGCCATGCTAGGCGTTCTAGTGGTACACTCTGTAATCATTATTTAACTACATGTAAACCACACAATAACCAAATTCTGTAAATTCAACATTGTAATCTTTATAGAGAATAAACTTTGAATTCCCTGAATTAAACCTGAATGCTTTCCATTCCCACCCCCCTCCAATGATAATAATTCACAAACCACAGGCTACGTCAACTCAATAGGGTTACTAGAAAAAGTTGATCGTTAGGTTATTAGATAAATTTGAACTAAAACAAGTTCACATTGGCCTGCCATAATTTTAACCCGGGCATTTTTTTTGCACACCTGTATAATTGTAGCGATACTTATGAGGAAAGACTAAAGAAAATTTTCAACTATCCCTTCAGAGAGAGTTTTTGGATGCTGGTGAAGGAATTTTGATTCGAGAAATTAGAGCATCTCGTATGACTCCTACAGGCTCAGCACTTGTTGAATATAATAATACTTCAACTATTTTAGGAAGGTGTGTTTGGACGAGTCGGTGGCCCTGTCTAGATCTTCATGTCTTGTGTACTCCTTCGGTATCGGCCACGACTTTAGCCTAGACAAATCCATGGGAGAATTTGGATGTGAAGTATTTGCCTTCGACGACGATGATTATCACAACATGTACATCAATAATATAATGCCCAGGTAAACGAATCTACGAAAACTTCACTACACAATTTTTTTTTTTATTATCACACTGGCCGATTCCCACCAAGGCAGGGTGGCCCGAAAAAGAAAAACTTTCACCATCATTCACTCCATCACTGTCTTGCCAGAAGGGTGCTTTACACTACAGTTTTTAAACTGCAACATTAACACCCCTCCTTCAGAGTGCAGGCACTGTACTTCCCATCTCCAGGACTCAAGTCCGGCCTGCCGGTTTCCCTGAACCCCTTCATAAATGTTACTTTGCTCACACTCCAACAGCACGTCAAGTATTAAAAACCATTTGTCTCCATTCACTCCTATCAAACACGCTCACGCATGCCTGCTGGAAGTCCAAGCCCCTCGCACACAAAACCTCCTTTACCCCCTCCCTCCAACCTTTCCTAGGCCGACCCCTACCACGCCTACCTTCCACTACAGACTGATACACTCTTGAAGTCACCCTCGCTCCATTCTCTACATTCTCCATTCTCTCTTGCACACGAAAATCACTCACTACGAAAGCAAAAGACTTGGCAGACGATGCACCATCCCCCCAATGAAAAGCAGGGGTGTCACTAGCACGTTAAGAGACCATACAATAAGTGTCAGGGGCCCGAGACTGTTCAACTGCCTCCCAGCACACATAAGGGGGATTACCAACAGACCCCTGGCAGTCTTCAAGCTGGCACTGGACAAGCACCTAAAGTCAGTTCCTGATCAGCCGGGCTGTGGCTCGTACGTTGGTTTGCGTGCAGCCAGCAGCAACAGCCTGGTTGATCAGGCGCTGATCCACCAGGAGGCCTGGTCACAGACCGGGCCGCGGGGGCGTTGACCCCCGAAACTCTCTCCAGGTAAACTCCAGGTAAACATGTCCGAACCACCTCAACAACCCTTCCTCAGCCCTCTGGACAACAGTTTTGGTAATCCCGCACCCCCTCCTAACTTCCAAACTACAAATTCTCTGCATTATATTCACACCACACATTGCCCTCAGACATGACATCTCCACTGCCTCCAGCCTTCTCCTCGCTGCAACATTCATCACCCATGCTTCACACCCATATAAGAGCGTTGGTAAAACTATACTCTCATACATTCCCCTCTTTGCCTCCAAGGACAAAGTTCTTTGTCTCCACAGACTCCTAAGTGCACCACTCACCCTTTTCCCCTCATCAATTCTATGATTCACCTCATCTTTCATAGACCCATCCGCTGACACGTCCACTCCCAAATATCTGAATACATTCACTTCCTCCATACTCTCTCCCTCCAATCTGATATCCAATCTTTCATCACCTAATCTTTTTATCCTCATAACCTTACTCTTTCCTGTATTCACTTTTAATTTTCTTCTTTTGCACACACTACCAACTTCATCCACCAATCTCTGCAACTTCTCTTCAAAATCTCCCAAGAGCACAGTGTCATCAGCAAAGAGCAACTGTGACAACTCCCACTTTATGTGTGATTCTTTATCTTTTAACTCCACGCCTCTTGCCAAGACCCTCGCATTTACTTCTCTTACAACCCCATCTATAAATATATTTATTTATATGTGTAAGTAGATAAATGAAAGTATGAAAAATACAAAATTATTTTTCATACTTTTATGAAATTTAAAACATTTTGCGGATAGGTTAGGTTAGGTAGATATGTCAGGAAACAGGAAAAGTGTTTCCTGACGCGGGTCTTAGTCATATGATGACCCTCATTATTATTATTATGATAATCAAGGGGGAAGCACTAAACCCGGAGGATTATACAGCGCCTGGGGGGGGGATGTGGAAGGCATTCAGGCTTAATTCGGGGATCTGGAGCACAGATCCAATTCCCTAAATCAAGAGCCCCTCACCAACATCAAGGAACCTTCCTTGAGGGGATGATGACCCTCAGCTGGAGCTTTTGGCATATACAGTTTTCTGCAAGGAATTCAGGAACTGTTGTAAATTCTATCCCTTAGAGGAGTGTCCTAAAGTCAGTGAAGGACTCTTGATCTAGGATATAACACTACACCCTCCCTTGGATCAAACCTAATCACATTCCATTCCCCAGACACTGTACGTCCCCTACAAGTTTGGCGCTTCGATATGAATATACATGAAAACAATGCTAATATCAGTGAAGCAGTTGAAGGCCGAACTCCACCAACAACTTTTTTATTCCTTTATCAGGGTGCATTTCATTCACATTCGCCTTGGTCACTCAGTAGTTTTCTTCACGGAGATCAACAAGTTAAAGAACTCAACCTTCCTGTACCTGTACAGGCCGCTAGACAACATTATGTTCATACTACAACATTACACAGCTAACCTGCAACTTCTGAAGATGGACGTGGAGGGAGACGAGTGGCAGATCTTCCAGGACTCTATCTTTAAGGTGTAGTATTTTCTTGATACTTTTATAATAAAGCAAAAGTGTGCTTGTAAAACTATTAATGTAGACTGATTCAGGATTAGTTACTGCACTATGTCACATGATCTCTTCAGCTGGAAACAGATGAACATATCATGTGAAACACTGCATTTTAATTTGCTCACAAGTTCAACAGATTTTTTTTGGGGGGAGGGGGGTAATAGAGAAGATATTGTAACTACTAATTGTGATAAGAATTTTTCCATCTTTTTAAATTTATGAATAATAGGCCCTACCACAATGTTTTAGTAGGTTTGCATTTTGAAAAAAAAAAATTAAATAAAATTTGGGTTATTTTTTAACATCAACTTGATATTTGAGTTTAAGGCCTTATTATCACTGAGAAGAGTTCTAATCTCTCAATATACTGGAGCTGGCATCAAATAAAGTGAGTTACTGTCTATATAAACATTTAGTCATCTATGACAATTCTTGCTTGTATTCAACTTTATAATGTACGAGCTATGTGTGCGTAAAAATATGGTGAACATTTATTAGAAAATAAATTTAGACATATCACATATAGTTATCACTACACAGGAGGCTGAGTTACTGTTCATTAATTCACAACTTAATGTTGAACATTGTACAACATCCAAGGGTATATTTTGCAAAAGACCATGGTATATTCTACAATGGCCTAGGCTACTATCACAGTACGTACTCTAAATGTAGGTGTTTCAGTGCTGCTGGTTCATTAGTTCACGCCTCACAACTGTGAATACTTTGTATATGGTGTAATTATTCCTATTTAGCATTTACCCTCATAAAAGTCTGTTGTTCACTAACTACACACACCAAGCCTTTTCCCCCC